TAAAGTAAACTAAAGATTGCGCTTCCAGGGTAACACTAAGCATAAATAAAAGCTATACATGTAAAAAGATGGCATATTAATATAGATCAATTGATAATTTCCTATTCCATATATAATTTAAGAAAGAGCTAAAGTGACCATGTAAAGCTAAACAAAATGACCATTTTAATAATACTTTAAATCAGTGGTTCTTAACCTTTTTGGAGGTACCGAACCCCACCAGTTTCATTTGCGCATTCACCGAACCCTTCTTAAAAGAAAAAATATGATTTTTTTTCCTGATTTTTTTTTAACCTCCGCCGAACCCCCCAGACTCGCTCACCGAACCCCTGGGGTTCGATCAAACGCAGGTTAAGAACCACTGCTTTAAATATAACAATTAAAGAATTATTTTGCTTATTTTATCTGAATGTAAAATTTAAGATATCCTTTTTATTATCCATAAATGTCCTCTACGTATTGCTGTTACTAATTAATCATATTTATCTCAAAAACCAGGACATCTGTTGTTAATTATTGCATTGTTAAAATTGCACAATTGAATTTTAATTATTGAAATTAATCAAATGACTTCAACCGATATCAAATTAACATTTTCATTTGAATACACTGAAACAAAAAATTATAATAATCATATAAAAACTTAATTTAAACATGCAAATCCCAAGCTTTAAATCTCATTGACTTTCAATGGCATGTGATAAAACTGACAATTTTTCTCCCTTTCTTATACAATAAATATAATTGATTGCTTTTAAATTGTTGATACATTAAACCAAGATTTTACTTTGTATGTTTAACATTGAATAAGTTATACTTATTTTTTGTTTCAAAAATGTGTATTTTATCAAATTTATAAAGTAAAAAAAAACACTTAAAGTTCAACTTTAAAAAAAATATTTTTTAATAAGAATATGCTGTTCAATCCTTTATTTTAATCTTAAAGTGCAACAAAAAGTCATAGCCAAATACCGCTCACTAACTTACTTAACCCTTATATATATAAGAACAAATAATATAAAGTTGCAATCAGTTAATTTTGTTTTCAATATCACAAAACCCAATTATGTTACAGATTCAAATTTTGGTATAGATTTTGAATGTTAAAATAACCATAATTTTAAAATATGCCTTAAGGGGGTGGGACGTAAGAATATTAATATTGTCGGGGCGTGCAAAAAATGTTTCGTTCCGTACAGGGAGATTATAGATTTTTGTATTAATAGTTTTTTTTTACACAGTGGGGAGCGGTATGCCATTATTTTATTTTGCCCCAGGCAGCGCAAGATATGAACAACGGAGTGCATTTTGTAAACACAGTATTTTTTACATTTTTAAATTGAGTATTTTTTCTTTCATTTTCAGTTCCTGGATATAAACAAAGATAAGTTATTATTTTCTTAACAAAATGTACAAATTTATTTTCGCTTCTACTTTGGGAAAAGTAAATTTCATGGAAAAGTAAGTGTAAATATTTATGGGATAAACAAGTGTAAATAAAAAAGTCAATGCTGTTACAAAAATGAAAATTGGTTAAGAGATTCTTCTTTAGATATAACAATTTTGTGTTATACAATTTTCCAATAATGTCATAGAGAAGAGAGTAAAAAGTTTGATCAATACTTTAATGAAGATACCAGTATTTCAAATTCCTTAAGTATTAAAGATATTTAAATTTGAACATAGATTTTGTTGTTTATAAAAAGAAATTATTAAAAAAATTTTAATGGGTTTTTTTTTTTTGTTTGCATTTCAGGGGCTCGGACAGGGGAAGCCCATATAAGAGCAGTTATTTCTAAAAAATAAATAATGTAAGAAATGTAAACATTAATACATAAATACTTCATTTTAACATAAGGTAAGTCTGACTAACTATTTCTTAAAATGTGTTATAATTTTTAAAAAAATTGAATGTTAGAATTTGGTCGAAAATATCGCAAGATGCCTACCATTGAACATTATTATCCTGGTAACATTTGATCATATCTTCTAGCAGCTGAGAACAGGAATAAATTTCCTTTGTTTGAAAACATAAAATGAGATTGATTAAGGTGATAAAATATACTTTTTGATTTTTTTTCATTTAAATTAAAAAATTTTTAAGGTCTAGGACCATTATAATGAAATAATGGGGTGTTAACAACTAATTCACTAAGACACCTGGAGCAGAAAGACAGTGAGAAGAGCTCAAATGTCTCCATAAATACCATACAGCAGATATATGTGATATCATACTAGCAATCACTGGTTACTCCAAAATTATTTGGTGCATTTTTAAAATAAATATAAAAGGTCATTTGAGCAATTTTCCTGTAGAATCAAGCCATTTTTAGCATTTCATACGCATTTTAAAAATGACAAAAATAAATACTAAATAAATGTAGAGAACCTTACGAGTATACATTTTCTGAAAGAACTTTGGACAAATTATCTTATGGTATAAAAATAATTTATTTTTATATAATTTATGTTAATATTGCCCTTGAATTTACAGAGTGAGTAAAATTTTAGTACTCAGCTTCTGAATTCAACCCACACTAAATAATCCAAAAATTGTTCAAGCTATCATAAAATCAGGGTTTGAGATAATAGGAGCAATATTCTTTTTTTAAATGTCAAGTTATAGTTACTTATATTGAAAATTGTAATATTGGTGAATATTTTTCATTTACTACCTTCAAATTTGAGTCATAATAAATATATGGAGAAAGCATGAAATGAGTTAATAATTGCTTTTCAATTGAAGTTATTAAATCTATTTTAATTCTCAAGAACATACACAAGCATTTAGGTCTTTGGGACGTCTTTTCCCTTTTTAATTTCCACCCTTTCCCTAATGAATTTTCCTGTAGCAATATGACTAGGCTTAGGGTTAAAAATGTCAACATTTGACTCTTATGTCATCATTATGAAGAGCTAATACTGCCTTTACTAGCAAATGGAAAGTCTCTGAAATCATTGCGTCCATATAAATATAATTTTATTAAAGATATTCTGTGTTGATCCTATCAATCACAAAAAATATCCCTTATAAAAGTAGATTAACACACAGATAGTAATGGAAATAGGAAGCAAAATCATCTCTTTAGATTTAATTCCCCTTAACCAATATACGGTACAGTAAATCATTAGCATTTTAAATGATGATTTTGCTAGCTGGCTCATTATATCGGCAGTGACATCACAGAAAGGGGTATAACGAGCAAATGACTTTAATACACAAAGGAATGTTTATAATTATTGCACTGATTAGATATATAGGACATACATTTCTAGTTTATCATAGTGCCAGATGGATATAGTTATATTATTCTGGTTATAGCATGAGGGCCAAGACAACTATGAAACTTTTAAATGCAACTTGCCTGTTTAGGCTGGCTATGACCAAACTGGCAAGGGGCTACCAATGATGCTCTAACAAGGTTAGATTCAAGTAGCCGAAAATGATAAACAAATGGGTTCACATAGCCATGTCAAATATTTCATGAGATGTAACAATTAACAGGAGTAAATCACAATACATTTAAAAATAGTATAAATTAGTTCTAATTACTCTTTATCCCTGTAAATGCTCTGCTTTCAAGGTCACTGAGTGAAAAACTGCGCTTGCTACCTAGACCTGGCGCAGGCAGGATTTTTGTAGGAAATATTCCTTCTTTCTCATCAAAGAATGTTCTAAACCTTTCCTGAAATATGAAGAAATATAAATAAAGTTGTAAAATGTTTAAACGGAAGGCATCTGATAATTGAAATATGTTAGGTTGTAGTTAGTCATATCAGATTAAAACTGTCATTTTATACATGTTTCAAAATCAAACTCATAAAGGGTACTGGCATTTAGTTTAATTTTCTATACTCATCCTAAACTTTAAACATGTACTTAGAAAAAAAAAAAAATGTTAAAAAGATCCACCACAACAAATTAATAAAAATAAGTGAATAAAAACATAAATTATATTTTTTAAACCATTTGTAAAAGACAACTAAATTGATATAGATAAATTGGTCAAAAAAATTGTTTGATATTCCATAAAAAGTAAGTCTTAAAATTTAAAAAAAAAAAATATTCTTCTATACTGTACACCACAGGGGTTCTGATCCAGGGGTTCTTAACATGAGGATGTGGGAGGCTGTGTCAGGGCATTTGAGTAGACCAAGAACATTATGTTTATCTGAATTTTTTTAGTAGCAGCAGATTTTATTGTTGTGAAATTTGTTTGTCTATTATATGCACTGGTGCATTTTTTTTGGTTTCTAGCCAGTTAATAAACTAGGAAAAACCATAAATGAATTATTTTTATGTCTATTTTTTAATGACAATAATCATTGTCATGGAGAGGAAGGAGACAGTGGGGGTTGGTGGGGGGGAAGGATACATGGAAAATGAAATGTTTTGAAAAAGAGAGAGGCTGCATTGCTGCAAAAATGTTAAAAGCTCTTTTCCACACAATTTATCACGTCTGAAAAAAACTCACTTCGATTTTGAGGGATTTTACAAGGAGTGATATGTAGGCCTACTTGAAACGCAACTGGAATGAAATTTTTCACTGGTAGAGCTCAATACAGAGCCTTAAATTGAATATGAAGTTATGTTTAAAATTACCTTATGTAGAGCTGTATCGGAGCCAGTGGGGAGCAGGGATTGTTGCCCCCCCCCCACCCCCCCCCCCGAGACCATTTCCTAAAAGTGGGGCCTTCTCAGAGATATAAAAAAATGTTCCTTTTCCCGAAATGGTTGTTTAATTTAGAAAAAATGGCAGCTCCAGTAGATATATATGTTATATATGCTTAAGATACTGCATTTTGAAGATTAATTATTTCATGTATACAAAAATAAACCAGAATAATCATACAATTTGTTATTTTGCTGAACTTATTATCTTGGCATGTGTGCCTTTTTTTAGAAGTTTGGCTCTCTCTGTTGTCAAGATTGTGCTTCGCTACAGATGAGGAGAGATTAAAATTTAAAAAAACAACAACATACCATTTTAATGTTTGCTCGCTCTTTCTTTAGATCAATGATAGGTTCAGTTCTTCCATCTGAAAATAAGATTTTTATTAAGTTAATTTCAATAAGTTGGGAAAAAAAACAATTAAGGTTGTTAATTAAAAATAATGAATAGCTTGTGTAGAATATAGTGAACTTACACAATTTTGGAACACAAACAGAGCATTACACCTTAAGGATGTGCAGTATGTATTGAAATATGATTTATTACTATAACCCCTACTGTAATAAAGCACAGGGACATAACATATTAAGCTCAATCAATTGGCATGTTTTTATTCAAGGACATATCAATATATGATGGTATGATAAAATTACTTGAAATTAAGAATCACAGGATGTCTAAAGTCCTTCAATACTTATATCATGTCCACAAAATGAAAATAAAATATATTTTCTTTCTATAAAATATGTCAAGCTGTTTTTGGAAAAAAAATGTTACCCCCTTACCTCCACCTGTAAAAATCTGTTAAAAATCTCAGACCACCCAAACCAACCCCCAAAAATTTACTACCTCTCAAAATAAAATTTTTAAGAAATTAAAAACTAATTAATAATTAAATTAAATTAAATTAGTATTAAACTTTTAAATGTATAAAAATGAAATCTTCTATCAGAATACATCAATCACATCAGAAATGTTAACATCACCGTCAATTTCTGTTTTTATTTGTATGATAAAAAAACCAAACTTATACAATTTGTTACAATGCATAACATCTTAGACAACCCCCTTGACCTCCAACCCCCCACCCCGTAATCACAAAATGTCACATTTTCTTTCTTAGACCCCCATCCTCCCTATAATGTGTGACATTACTTTATAGACAGCCCATTATGAACTTTCACTGTGTGTGTACTAGGCATAAATATTGGAGGTCTCTTCACATCCCAATGCACAATAATTATCTTTGGCACCATTATTAGTGGCCCTTTAAAGTATTGATTAGGTAAATGCATATATATATATTTTAATTCAGATACATGAAACTAAAATTATTATCTCACCCGTGAGAACGTGCTCATTTACAAATGCACCTTCATCCACTTGTACATCCTTGTGTTGAACACTGATGGGGTCACCTATGGACATTGTTTTTATTGGATAAATTTTAATTATGCCGCCTGGCAATTTTTATTTTAAATTTTTATGTCAGGAATGAGAATAAAACTAATTTTCCATAATATTCTAAGTGGGCTGTCGTTCCATTTTTATAAAGCATAATTCTTTAACCATGTTTTTTTTCTTCCTCCCATCTATTTCTCATCACTGAGAATAATGTCAGACGATAAACTGTACTTCTTGTTGTGAGGTAGAAGCTCTACCATTCAAATAATACTAGACATGTTATTAGGAGTTACAACCAATTGGGGATGTAAATTTAAAACTTGAACTTACATTTTAGGACAACGTTAAGTCCGTAAATGTCTGTTAAAGTTGATTTGTCTGAATGGCCCACATTATCTGGGGACACAAGATTTTGAAATAGGTGTCTTATGTCTCTATGAAATCAAATATTGTTAAAATCAACAAAATATTCTATTCTTTTGCAAATTTAGTATTACTGCCAATGTAGTTTTAATTAAATGTTGAAAAATATTCAATTCTGAATAAATTAAAATAAATATAGATTTCATGTGACAATGCAAAATGGTTATACTTAAATTATACTATATTATAGCTTTTAATTTGATAGCAGTAATAACCATTTTGCTTTTCTTGTCTTCTTTCTTCTTCCTTTATTAAACATTTATGAGATTCCTGAATAAATGGTCAAGATTTTTTGTTGCCAAAACATAAGAATATTAATGTACTACCTTATAGCCAATCTTATTTCCAATAAGAAAAGTAAATTTCATCAATTAAAATTGATAAAGTGGTTAGTAAATTACAGGAAATGGGGAATTTTTATGCATAATAATGGCTGTCGTAGGATAGCTCATATGAGGGAAGAAACAGTGGTGTAGCGAGACATTTCGCATTCCCCCCCCTCCCCAAAAAAAAGAGAAATACATACAAATATCTAAAAATAGTGCATTTTGGCAAAGTGAAATCTGGAAATCAAGAACATTGAATCAGCACTGTGTTATGCCCCCTGTGATGTAACATGACTTTGAACAAGCTAGTGGTCTAGGGGAATTGGAAAAGGGGGTAAAACAGGTAGATTTTAGACACACTACAGGCCAATTTGAAGACTATCAGTGCTCCATATAAATGAACTTTATAACATTGAGCATAATATGAACAATACATAAAATCTACATTAAAAGATATGAAAGGTGTGACACTAACAATATCTTAATCTCGCAGTAATATAAAGAGTACTATCACAAGTCTAAGTTCCTGGAATTACTATTTCATACAACAAGACTCAACATTAAATGGCAGAACAGGGTCCCAGACACTGAGGTGCTCACACGGGCAGGTCTCCCCAGCATGGTTACAACCTTGATGAAGTCCCAGCTTCGCTGGGCGGGACAAGTTGTGAGAATGTCAAATGACAGTCTTCCCAAAAGAATTTTCAATGGTGAGCTTGAACAAGGAAAGCGGTCTGCTGGCGGGCAGAAAAAACGCTTTAAAGACAACATAAAAGCCTCACTGAAAGCGTTCAACATAAACCCAGACATGTGGGAGGAACAAGCAAAGGATCAAACTTCATGGCGTTCCACTTTGAACAGGAGCTCCATGCAGCATGAAGTTGGCAGAGCAGCGGCTGCAGAGCGCAAGAGACATGTCCAGAAGGCCTGTTCTGACTCTGCTCCCTGAGATGCACCATCATTCCCCTGCACCTACTGCACAAGAGAATTTTGTACCAGAATCGGCCTCATTAGCCATCTGCGCACCCACAGACAGAACCAGCACAAACTCTGATGATTAAAGTGGTCATGGCCGACTTCCGACTGATTAACAACTATTGCAGCTAATTATTGGATGGCCCTATCTATTACTTAGCAAATGCCACGTAAACCTAGTCACCCATCGATGTGCTCATCTTGTATCTAAGAGTCTCTATCTAATCGTAGGGGAATACAACCAGTACTTACACATAATCATTTCGCGTGGCTTAATTAAATGTAGGCCAAACGTTCACTGCAGACACAGGTCTTGCACCTTATTATTCTATCAACTTGATCAACTGGTCACACTACCTGGAAGGGGGTATGCTGACAAGACTAGGTCAGTGGGGTATATAAACAAAACAGCCCTACCATGTAACAATTTTCCTTGACATATGTGCTAACTCACCCCACGTCTGAATCATTGTTTCTTTAAAACTAGCTGCAGCTGCAAATAGCACCAACTTTCTCTTCAGTATAAATTGTTTAAATTATTTAATTCCAGGTTTCAATGCATATAGAAAAGTAACAGGGGTGGGGGGTAAAGAGGGAAATCAAGCATGACGAAAGCTCCCAAACCAAACTGGGGACCGGGATCTGGGAAGGGGGCATATTGAGACCTTGGCCTGAACATTTTTGATAAATTAAAAATACAAGGATTCACTTTCGCTCATATTTGATTTTAGTTTTGAATTAATCTACAAATAATTAAAAAGCAACATAGAAATGCGATGAAATTTAGGTAACTTTTTTTTTTATTGTTAGGCCTACTTATTAGTTATGTTTTTTTTATAATAATTATTTAAACTATTACATTTTTTATTTTGTTTTACTTCTTCATTAGTAAATGAATATTTTTAAATAGGTGCCGTGGTAATGTAAAGGTGCTTACCATCAAAATTAAACAAAAAAAAAAATACAATATATATATCTTATTCTTCTTCTATATATTGAGGACCCAGGAACAATGTATGGATCATTCTTGTTCCTACTTCCATAGAGGGAATGTACAATGCTTCTGTGATTGGTTGGTATTGAATGGGATATTTCACTGGTTGCAAAGCTTACTTAGCGAGGGTATCATGAACTGGGGGTTGATTGGCCTGAGGCAATAGATGCAAATGTGTCAAGTGTTGTTGCCTCAACTGCTCCTTTTGAAAGCTTGTTCGCATTAACGGTTCCCTTTGGAAGCTTGTTCCAGTCCCTGATTGTCTTTGGCAGGAATGAGCAGTTCCTGTACTGTGTTCCTGCTGTTATGAGCTGGAACAGCCTCTGATGGCCTCATCGCTGTCTGGGGGGAAAGGTACAAGTTTTTGTTTAATGCTGGAGCAGTGGACCAGCCAATTTTTATCTTGTACATCAAAGAGAGCCCGCATAATCGTCTTCGTTCCTCCAATGGTTGCCAGCCTAGTGTTTCCAGCATGCTGCCAACACAAGAAGTATGCCTGTAGCAGTTCAGGACAAAACATTCTGTCCATTGATGGACTGCCTCCAAACTGTTGATGCTCCTTTGGGTGAATGGGTCCCAGACTAGAGATGCATAATATAAAAGCAGCAGGATAAAGGCTCATCACCCCACTCAGCTAACTGATGGAGATCCTGTTGTAGCTGGTCCTGGTCAGAACTGTTGGCGATTGTACCACCATGTCATCTGCAAACAGTCTTGCTTGGGATGTCAGTTTCTCTGGTAGATCAATAATGTATGCTAGGAACAAACAGGGGCTTAGAACAGAGCCCTGGGGTACCCCTGACATAAGAAAAAAAAAAGGACCTTGTGCCGTCCACCCCTACTGCCTGGAATCAGTTGCTAAGGAAACTAGAGATTCATGAATATATATTATGGGTGCGTTGAGTGGATTGGGGTGCTGTGTTATATAAGGGAAGTGGTCCATGGGGGTTTTAGTTTCCACACTTCACTGATTTGCAATGAATTCCAAAATGTCATCACAGCCATTTTAAATCGACATGATATTTGACAAGACTGTGCCAACCACTGCTGTAGTTAGAGGTGAGGATGTGGCCTGTTTTCCCATTGATTGAAGGCTTTTTTATTCAGTGGTTGTGTGTATGTGTAGGGGGGGGGGGGGCATTTTCAGTCAGCTCATATTCTTGAAATATTTTTTTTCCTCTTCCTGCATTCTCTTTACTTTGTAAGAAGTTTTCAAACTTTGGGAGGTGGGGGGATTATGAAAGACTGCAATGTATCAGTTTGTTTATAACTAGCGCAAAAAAAGACCTTTTACCAATAATGTAGCAACCAGTTTTCATCATCAGTCAGCTGATAATGATACAGAGTAGCCTACCAAAGTCTGTGTGTTTTGTTTTTTTTAAATTTATTTTAATTTTTTTTTCTCCCTTTCGATTATCTCACCAGAAATATCCCAACAAACGATGCAAAGGTGGCGGCAAAGAGTGAACTCACCATCTAATAAGGTTACTCGACAAAACATTTATTTAAGTCTATTCACTTTATAAGAATCCCAATTAGTGTTAGCTTCTGGGCCTAATAAACACAGCCTTTTAGCAATGTATACATGCATACCTGCAGAATTATTTTATGCGATGATAAAAATAATTAAAAAACCAGATTGTGAGAATCAACTAACAATTTTGAATCAGCTTTAAAACCCCGTTTTCATTTTACATCCCTAATCATAAAACACTTCTTATAGAAATGATATATCTTTCATTCATGACTGAAGAAAATTATTATTTTTTTATTTTATATATAAATTATAAAATGTAAATGGTAAAATATTAAATAAGATAAATATATAACATTCAATGCTTGATAAAAAGTTTCATATACCTTTTTCCCCATCGGCATGTGGAAACAGATTTTCCATTTCCCTTAAAAAAATTGTTAAAAAGAATATGATTTTATTTACTTGCAAATACTTCACTGAATTTAAATTGTAATGCACTTGATAGGAATTGCATTTTAATTATTGCCATTGGCGTATTTACATTGTCACAGCACTTATATAAAGCCTCATAACATTAAATACGTTTTGCTTAAAAATATTTACAAAAATAGTATGCAACTGACACCATGAATGGTTTACAATTACATAAGGATTAACATGTTTTTATATTCATTTGGTTTTTTACCTTATGTGTATATTTTCCCTCTCAAACTTCTGTTGAGAATTATATTTCCTAAATCTGGAAAAAAGTAAAATTCTTAAATATAAACATATCTTCCTTCACTTTTTGATTATGTCTCTGACAACTTAATATATACGACATATATTTTATATATATATTTTTTTTATTATTCAGTTTTGTCATATATCTTTATATAAATATATATGTTACATATATACAGATTAGCCTATATATAATATCCCATACCTTATGATAACGAATATGAACAAAATGAGTAGTATTATAAGCATGAAGACTGATCCAATAATCGGAGCAATTGTTGCAATGGACATAGGGCTGTTATCAGTGTCTTAATAAAAAAAAATATTATGATTAACAAACAAAACTTTTGATGCATAAAATAATAATATATAATACATTTATTTGACGTAGTGTAACAGCTATGAAGAAATAATCTCTGTCAGCCATGGCCCATTAAAGAACCAAACTCCAACAACTAATGATACAACATTTGTGAATTGACGCTAGCAATTTAAGAATAAAAATAATAGTAAAAAGAAATATAATGCCTTTTAATTAAATCTGACAACACCTTGAAATGCCTCATAATCCTTTCATAAGTAAGTGCTGTTCATTTTACTTTAATTAATACATTTATCTTTAATGTTTTAACACTTACCAGCTTGAATTCTACAGGTGACATTGTTGTAGGCCCCATCCAGCCTACAGGCAGCAAACTTTAAAGTTACAAATAGAATCTGTTGAGTACTAAGAGTTCGTTTCAGAACAGCGGAATTTTTAAATGCTGCAACATTTTGTGTGTCATCTGTCAGGATCTCTATGAGACATGGAGTTGCTGGACTTGAACAAACAAACTCTAGCTTTAAGTCACTGATACTTATGTTTGCTCTACAATCATCATTATAGTAGTTTTCTCCATTTATTGTAATTGTTCCAGTAACATTTCTAGCATCTGAGGAAATAAACAACTAAAATTAAATGTACAACAATCAGGTGTATGAATCAGAGCTTTTTTTAACTAATTACTTAGGTGTTGGCCTTTTACTATTAATTAAACATGATTAAAAATGTTTCAAGTAGCTGCTTTTCAACCTTCTCATAAGAAGAAGCTCTGTAGGCCTTAATCCAGGGGTGGGCAACCAGTGACCTGCTGAAACCTTTACTGCGGCCCAAATGGCCTTCCGATTAACATTTCCGAAAATGTTCAAATTGTGAATGATTATCTGTAAAAGCCTTTGAATATTAATAACATGATAAAAGTGTCAAACTAATAATATTAATCACATACACATATTTGCAAAATGAACACGGAATGAATTGTCAAAGTCCATCTTTAATGACCTATATTAACAATTATCATGTGACCTGCAAACAAAAATATAAAAAATATATCCCTGGCGTCCTCTTCGCAAAATGGTTGTCAATGCCTGCATTAAACTATACAGAATTTGAGAAGATTAAATACTAAAGGAGTAACCTTATAAGAAGAGGAAAAGCTTAGTAGAGATCACAAAAGATTTTCTCATGCAAACTAATTAAAATTAAAAGCAAGTTAAATTTGGATATCAAAAGTCTTAACAGAACAAATGTAGCAACAAATTATGTAGCAGATAAATAAAAGTTGCCTAGGAAAACAACTATTTAATTAGGAATTACTAACTGGCTGGAATATACAAAATAACTAAGGTGAGTAGCATTAGTAGAAATATATTTCTGTACCATACTGGTATTTTATATCTCTTTTTTTTTCATATTCATAATATATCATTGTACCGCTTGGTAGAAAGAATTATTATTGTTTTGTAAAAATATTATGCCATTAAAAACAATGCATATTCACTTTCAATTGTTTAAAACTGGAAAAGCATTGCAAACAACTTTGTTGCAGAAGATATTTTTAAGTAAATATCATGAGAAAAGATGTTGTAAATAATTAAATACCATAAGTTTCTGGGACAATCTGGTAGTCCGAGCTGATTTCATTTTTATTGGCATCACTCAAGACAGCTTTAATCTCTGCACCAATGTATTTTGGCTCTGCTTGTAGAGTAATATATACATGAAAAATATTATCCCCTGTCTTCTCACAGTAGTAGTCCAAATCTTTCCTCTCCATACATGCTGATGAAGGATGGATGTGAAATAGCTGAAATTTAAAATTATATTTAATCCCTTTAATCAATGTGTACTGAATTATTGCCACAAAACCCTCCCTTTTTCTTTCTTCCTTAATTAAAACAATTTGTAATTAAACAGTAAAATGCCAGGGATCTATTATTATTTTATTTTATTACAAGAACTTGACAGTTTTGTTTGTTTTTTATTTTAATGGAATCTCAAATATTTGATTCTGCAATGGTTTTGTAAAGTAATCAGCTTGCTATTTTAACTTGAAGCACATTTTTTTAAACATATCTCTTTATGTTATATAGGAAATATGATGTTTGAACAGTTGATATAATTAGAGCCTGCAAAAGCAGGTAAACTGAAAGGGTATCAAAACAGAAAATAATTTAAAATCACAAAATCAGCTATAGTAATTAGCAGATAATGTGAGTTGAACTTGAGAATTCATTGTGCAAAACAGTAATACTGAATAAAATAAAAGTTTGAAAAATTCAGATGGCGTTAAAAAAAATCAAATTTAAAAAAAAAAAAAAAAGAAAAAATAAAAAAAAAAAAAGTTTAAAAAATTAAAATGGCGTAAAAAAAAATAAAATTTAAAAAAAAAAAAAAAAAAAAGTGAGAGAGAAAGAACGATTTGCAAATTATTATCCACATTTTGAGTTGATAAGTTTAAGGTTCAATTACAACACTTTTATCTGTTAACTAAATGTGACAATGTTACTTTAATGACTAAAAAGTGTTTTAAGATTTTTGTACTATAGCATTTACAACACCTACCTTTTAAATACTTACAATAAAGAATGATGTCAAATTCTAACCGTCCAATAAATATATAAAAATAAATTTAGCTACATTTGGCTACAAGTTTAAAGTGTATCATGTAACCTCTTAAACCTAAGACACATTAAAAGTGAGTCTCAGTTATAAATAAAGAAATTAGCTAAACTAATTCTACTAGTACCGTATTTGCAAATATGATACAAAATGTATCACAAATTAACATATCTTTTAATAGAGGTAGAAAAAAAAAAATGAGCAACAATTTGTCAAAGGCCTCCTCTCTATTTCTTAAGCTGCTAAAACATTTTAAAATGGAATAAGATAGCTTTATTTAATAACTGCTATTAAATTAACTTTTTAAAAATGATACCTAAAAGTAGGCAACATAACTTCTAATTACCTTTTTGTAGTCATTGGTAGTCGTTTCTTTTATCATGTACGTGGAAAATATAAATTCATTACTGGGCTGGGTAAAATTAATGATGCTTTTGAAGACTAGTTTATCAACATTGTTTATGAATCCACTGGCACACTTGGTTACACAGTGTTTGTGTTCCAACTCCAGTAACTTGATGTCCTGGCTGTAGAGGAAGCCTGTAAGCAGTAGATGTAGGAGCGAGAACATCAGTTATTTTAATGCAAACACTTTTAAAAAACATTTTTTTTTTTTTTTAAAAATGGGAATTGATCTCAAAATAATGAAAAAGAAAAAATTAGAAATTTACATGAGTAATTTTATATGTACCATAAACCAGACAACTAATACAATAACACTTCACCTCTGATGCACCAAGTAATTAATTATTTTTGATAGAACTATTTGTGATTGTACAATTTATTTTTTTTTGGGCTAACACAGCAGTTTTCAAACTAGGGGACCTCTAAAGAGACATAAAAACCAGTTTTTACTTATGTAAGATAGAAGGATGCAAATCCTGCTCCAAATATGAAGATGTGTGATTGGCAAGTTTCCATTTATTGCTGAAATAGTTCAAAAATATAATTAAAATGAATCAAAACAAAACAGGGATAAAATCGTTTGATATATTCTGACAACTGCATTGATAAACTCAAGGGGGCAGGGCTGTAATGTCATCTTGCTTTTTTTTTTATTGCATTCATCAGACTCAAAGGGGCAGGGTTGCCCACTCAAAAAATATAATTTACTGACAAGTATTCTAAATCAGCACATTTATACAGAAAAGCTTTGAGCTTGTTTCAATTTTAATGTCTAAAAACATAAAAAATGTCATTTATACTAAAAACCATTTGGCTCTTATGCTAATTCTAAGCTAAATGTTTTTTAAAATGGTTTTATGAGTTATTTTTGTTTTAATTTTCGGATACCAGTAGGTAAAGAGCTTAAAGGTAAAGAGATAATTAAAAATTATAACAATGGAATTTTTTTTAGTTTGAGAACGGCTGTTTATGGAGCCCATTGTTCTAATGTTCATAAATGTTAAGCATTAGCTACTCCATTGATAATGGGTTTAAAGCTTAGTCATATGCATTGGCTTCACAAGGAGGTGTGGGCTTCACTAGGGGGTGTGGGCTGCACCTGGCGACACCCTTATAATGGGGGGTGGATACCCTGATTTGGGGGGTGGGGGGCGGATACCCTGATTTGGGGGGCGGAGGGGGCGCGGACACCCTTATAGGGAGCTGACACACAGGGTTGCCTACTCAATAAATAAAATTTAGGGACACACATTCTATTTTTCTACAGTTTTTATGGACAAGAAAATTTTCTTTAAGGACACAATTTAATTTTATGTTGTTAAAACTATGAAATTTAAAAAACAAACAAATAGAGCCAAACGCTCACTGAACACTGATTTCACCACTGCAAAACCCCCATAAACACTTACACCCGAAACAATAACAAATGCTTCACTGTGCCTCGGTGGAACACAGTGCAGTATAAACAAGCATTCTTCCCACGCACAATAATTGCTTAGATTTGGAACCGCCTGGACAATGCCACCGTGGACTCCACATTGGTGGAAAGCTTTAAGTTCAAGGCTGCCCTGGCATCTGCTAGGAGCTGTTAGAATAGCAACATCGTTTCCCCCAACCGTTGCAATTACACTTTCACTTGAAATATAGTATAGTAGTATTATAGTCTTCTACTTCTTATTCTCAGTCTTAATAGGACTGGGGAAAAGTTAGTTTTGAGGTTGTTCTTTTTAAAAAAAAATACATTTATGACTTATCTTTTTTTAGTTATTTCAAAATAAAAATGAACCAAAAAATATTATTTTAGGCTTTAGGCTTAGGTCATTAGATTAGGCTAGCAATGTCAATGGGTTGAAATAAGTTACTATGTTTTTCGGACTCCCAAGACAATGATTGAATCGGACAATGACAATATCATTACTATTAGTCAGTAGTAGTAGTAGTTGTTGTATGAAATATGATTTATTTCAATAAAATTAAATATAGTAATGTAGGCCTACACTTCTATTATTAATTAATATTACTATTACCGATACTTGTTACTTAACGTTTTTTTGTTTTAAATTAAAAGATATCTACGGACCTACGTTCCATCATGGAATCCATGGAGTTGGAGTGTAGGCGAAGCCTACCCCAGCCTGCCTTGAGCCTTGGTTAAGTTTGTCCTTTGATGCCCTATATGATATATGACTATATGATATTACGGTCTTACAACACAGTATTTATTTTTAACGCGTTGTGTTTTAAAAAATATTTTTTTATAAGATCTATAAAAGAGGAAAAGAAAAGGGATATTGTTGATAAATATACCCATGAATGACGTCATTTGAGTGTTTATTTAATAGGCTGCATCTATAGGTACAGGGTAGCCAATGATTATTCGAACCCGGAGTGGCTCAGTATATATTAAATGGCTTCGGAGCCTGGTGTGATAACAATAATAGTATGAGAATTATTTTTTAAAATTGTTTTTTCTCCTTGTTACTTCATTGATTAATAGTTTTATTATTTTTAGTTGTTTTATTCATTTTTGTTTTGTTAATATCTCTTAATACCGGTAGATTTTTTTTCTTTCTTATTTTCTTTTTTTAGTTAAGCCATTTTCGTAGATCAATTATTTTTTTTAAAATCTAGTAATGAAGATGATTTAGATATATTTATTGTTTATTTCAATTTTAGAAAAGTAATAATATTTATTTAATTATTAAAATTAAATCCTTTATTTAAGATTATTTATGTGTATTGTTTACGATAAAGATTTAATCACACAGAACTTTATGAATTAAATAGGTATTCTAAATAATGAAAATTTCATAATTCATAATGATAATGAATTAATTTCAACTATTCCTCTAGAGAGCTTGGCTTAGTCAGGACAAAACCACCAATTTTAAACCTTTTCCTTGGCACTGGTTGTCATACATGCGGACACTGACTGTTTTTCCTGATATCTTGAATCTCCTTTCAACAACCTTTCTCATTTGACTTGACCTAATTCACAAGGTAATTGTAATGAACATTAAAAAAATTATTGTTAGGTTGTAAGACAAAATTGAATGGACTATATGTTTGTAAACTTAATTCTTCAGTTTAAAGTTTATAGAAGCGGCAAGTCATAGAAGTTTGAAAGTTCAAATAAATATTTCAATCAACTAAATATTGGGAAATTTATAATATATTTTTATACGATTTCCTTCAGTTTAAATCACACAATACAGTAATGTAAAATAAATAAATATGCATATATTTATATACTTAATTATGCTATTAATATTCAATTTATAAACATGACAAGTTTTGAAAACCCATAAAACTGTACAGACTTTTCTATTAAGTATTATAAGTAAGTTGTTGGTTTTATTATTATTTTTTTATAATTTTGCTTTCAACTTGAAAAGGATGTCACCATTGAAACTCCCAAAATACTTCAAATGAAAATTAAATTAAAATTGCTATTGAATAATAATTAAAAAAAAATTTTTTAGAACACACCCAAGTCAAGCAGAGCCACTTAACATTAAAATGCCCCCATGACATGTTTGGTTTTGTCCTCCCCACCTTTCCTCTAAGTTTATAATTTAAAAATTGCCCTCATCACAATGTTAAGCTCTTAATATCCTAGTCCCTCTGAAGATGTAGGGGTTGCAGGGCCCACGTGATAGCTCTGAGGTCAAGTAAACATTAATTTCTTAACTAGCATCTTCGCCGTTTGTCTTATAATATTATGTGTCGAATGTTGCAAATCTAAATTCAAATATGTGCTAAAATGCCCTTGCATTTTGAAGTTATTTTACCTTTTCTGTAGACCATTAAGTTATAAGCCAGGGCTAAAAGTACACCCTCAAGGACGCAACAATCTGAATGCATTTAGTGCATGTTGGACTGGAGCAAGTGAGAGATTTTTTAAATTATAAATAATTTTTTACAAGTCTGAAATTCCCCCTCAAAATTGACTGAAAGAGGCACCTAATTCAAGTACCGCCAAAATGCGCCCTTTCATTTTGAATTTGCCCGACTGTCTTTGGCACACTCAATTTCTGTTCATCTCCACCCCCACGCTGAGCAATGTGACAGGACATGGTTGAATATATGTGGCCTCAATGATTACCCTGGGGCTCGCCGCTTATTCCGTTTATGTATGGCACTGAATGTCATAACGCCTCCCTCTGACGATTAAAAAAAAAAATTTCCCTGATCAAATAGGCAAATAGAAACACTAAATTCTGTGAAGCTCCAAACTGCACCTTTTTGAATTTTGAAATAGTCCAAAATTTTCTTTCGACTGGGTAGTCAGACACCCACCCCCCCCCAACCCCTTTTACCTAAGAGCCATCAGTGCACTCAATTGCTGCCCTTATTCTCCCCAAAAATTTACATTAAATCTGTCGCCTGTCATAATTTTCGAAGCTGATAGATACACAGCTCACTGGGGAAGCTAGGTAGCTTGTGTTAGTGCTGATAGATACACAACTCACTGGTTAAGCTAGGTAGCTAGTGTTAGTGCTGATAGATACACAGCTCCCTGGGAAGCTAGTGTTAGTGCTGAAAGATACACAACCTAGTGGAGTAGCTAGTGTTAGTGCTGCCCTATTCTTGCCAAGCTTTATACCACGCTCCACTTAACGATACAAGCTCTCCATTCGTCTTAAAATCCTGCCACTCCATTTAAAGAAATATTGACAACTGGGCTGATCACTCAAGCCACCGCACTCAAGTGTTCAAAGAGGCGTAGCTAGAGTGTTCGGGCCACAGGACACTGATTCAATTTCCATCCCCCGAACCCTCCCCACTCCCAACTCTGAAGACCATAACTTTCATCCATTAAATACCACCCAGGTCCAGATTTACCTATAAGCTAAACAAGCTACAGCTTAGGGCCTCACATTGTGCCAGCTATATGTTTTATATTTTAATTTGCCCAGCAGCTGTAATTCAACACGGTAGGGGGCCCCTTCATCTGTATAGCTTAGGGCTCAGCCAGTCTAAATCCTGCACTGATCAAACCACATTTTGTCGACTAACTAGTTTGTTTCATGGGGATATCTGCCCCCCTCTTCTACCTTAGCCACGCCTATGGCCATTGTCACCGCCCCCCCCTCTTTCCACCCGAAAATCTGAAATGCCCCTTGGGGAAAATTTTCTGAAGGAACACAACTTGGGTGCATTTTTTATAATATGGAACGAAGTCTATTGCCTTTTGTCGTAATGAGAGGACATTGCCTTCGACAACCGTTTGTGTCAAGAAATAACCGCAGTGATCGAAACAGGCAGTTGCTGGATCCCGCATTGGTGATCACCTTGTACAAAATATCACCGGGACAAACGACACTAGAAGCCCACTTTGGCTGAGATAACCCCACTTGCCTATACGCGGGGAACTAAAATAAAATAAATAAATTAATAAAAACAAGATAAATTCCTGATGCTAGTATTGATGAATTATTATATATTTTTTGTTAGTTTTGTTAAATATTTATATATTATGGTATCAGATAAAGTCGAT